CACCAGCTTCCTCTTGCTTTCAAGATTAATAAATATTATAAAAGATAAAAATACAAATTATAATTTCTTATCTTAAGCATTAAAAAAAAAATTCTTACCATGTTAGCTCGATATGATGCAAATGACACTGTTCCTCCAGAATGAGTGCTTATTTTGCCATCTGTTTTGGTTAATCGATTCCTCCTAGCAGATTCAGACCTCCTTTGAAATTCAGGGGTGGACCAAACATCTTTGATCATTTGATTCCAGTCATCATTATTTATCCAGGTAGGACCTTTATCAAGGCAATCTATAATATTTGTAGTGTTTTCTTTAGACATGGCTTTCTTGCGAGCTCGTGTTAATTGTTGATTCAAAGCTATCCTTGCCTTATCTTCCCAAATATTACGAACAATCGACTCATCTTCCTCAGGAAAAGAATATTTTTTCTACCAAGTAATATATATACGAAGTAAAAAAAGTGCACAAAATTTCAAATTATATAAATAATTAACATATTGTGTTATCTTGTTCAAAATTTGCAAGATGATGTAATAACTATAGAAATTAAATGATATTAAAAAGTAAACATGAAATAAGTACAAATTATAACACAAATCAATCATAGCTAATTGATAATTTTCATAATCCTACATTAAAGTTATCAAAATTAAAAAGAATATTATAGAAATTAGTATTGGTTCTTACCTTAAACTCTTTAAACAGTTCATCCCTGCACATTGAATCTACTTTCTCCCAAGAGTGCCATGCTCCCTTAAAATTGGACCTCAAAATATCTCCGATTGCACGTCCACACGATGCGTTATTGAACCTGAAAATATATAATAACAAACTTATATTAAACAAATAATTACACAATAAAAAGTAATTTTTTTCATACCTAAAAATATAGCCTTAATAAGTTTGATATTAAACAAATAATTACACAATAATAAGTAATTTTTTTCATACTTGAAAATATAACCTTAACAAGTTTGTTTTTAAAAGTTTGAACTTACTCTGTTGTTCCATACAAACAAAGCTCTTTTTTTCTTGTTATTGGATCTATTGGCGTGTCAAAACCCTTCCTTTTAACACTTTGATCATAATTGTGTGGAGAACATGTTGAACCATGATATGATGGAACACCATCTTGATCCTCATCATATACACCTCTCTCATTACTATCGTCTCCCTCGTCTTCATCTCTAACATTCACATCATCATCATCACCATTAACTCTCTCATAACTCCTATACAAATTATGTCCTCCATAAACAAATTGGTTATCTCGAGAGAAACCTCCTTGAGTTTGAAGCAAATCTTGGAAACGAAAGCCCTCACAATATTGATATGCATCAACCCTCCCATAATCACGTTGAGGAGGATGTGTACTCCCCAAAGTAGGTATATAATACTCATTTGCATTCTGATACACAGGTTGATGAAATGTAGATCCTTTGTTATTATGCCTTGATGTAGTTTGAAATGATTTGGATGAAGTGGACCTATCACTCCTTGATGTGGACCTGTCACTCCTAGAATCTAATATGGATCCTCGTCGAGGCATGCTAAAAACCAGAAAAAATATATACATTATGATATGAATATATACACATAACAATAAATTAGCTTATAATTAAACTATGAGGAACAAAAGATTCACAATATTTTCAGTAAGCATTCCTTGCAATGATAAAAATCAGCCATGAAGTTTAAATTATCAAAAGCCAATTAACACAAACAATAATAAAAATAAAAATCTAAATAATTAATTAAGCAGAAATCAAAATTTATGAGTATACTTACCTTAATGTTTGTTCCTATAAATCAAACACTGAGTAGGAAAAACCTTTTCATTCATTCTTCAACATCTATAAGCAAGAAAATAAATCACAAAATAAAATATATCATCAGAATCACAATTTAAATATTGATACTTGAAAGGTTAGAAATTTTTTAAATAAAATATAACATCAGAATCACAATTTAAATATTGATACTTGAAAGGTTAGAAATTTTTTCAAAGGTCAATGAAAATGATATATGTAATGTGATACATAACACACTATGATAAAATAATAAATAAAGAACATTGAAAAAGTAAATATTGTCAAATAATATGAAATTATCCATACATATATTAAAGATAATTCATTACATATACTACAAAATATAATAACTTGCGCTACTCATTATTATCATCACTCCTAACCATCACCACCATAACAATCATCCTCATCCTCATCATCATCATCTTCTTCTTC